TAATGATGTTGAATGTAGAATTATTCTACATTCAACATCATCACTTTGAATGAATATATATATATATATATATATATATATATATATATATATCCTTATATATATATATATATATATATATATATATATATATATATATATATATATAAGAAAGAACACTCAGATTTATAACCCACAGTTCCTTAGCATCTATTTTTAAAACCAGTGCTAGATGAATATTTACATATTTTTAAATAATATTATATAAATATATATATATATATATATTGCAACATGAACACTGGAAAAAAATTATGAAAAAAAAATGAATACATTAGGTTTATAATACCCAGATATTCATACACAGATGTCCTCAAGGACACATGGCACAGTGGATAAAGGCTGGATCTACAGTGACAGGACCCAAGGAGTGTGAGTCAATACCCAGTTAAAACAGTGAAGACGGAAATTAACGAGAGATAACTGATACCTGACACGTGGAACTAGAACTAGTGAGCGAAATAAAGACAAACCTATTGTCATATCTATAAAATCAGCATTCCATTGTGATTTAAAAAAAAAAAAGACTTTCTGTTATTGTTTTTTAAAACATTTCCCTGTTGTACTTTTTGTGCCCTAAAAATTTCAAATGTCTCTTCCTGATGTTAAGTAAAAGTTTTCTTTTTGTTTCCATTTTCTCTAAAACTTTATCGTTGCTCATATATCCATGGTATCCTCATCATCCTTCTGTAGAACCACATTTCTGTTTCTTCAAGTTGCTTCTTCATCTTTGGGGAGATTGCACATCACTCATTGCCATACAGTAGGACAATTGAGTACTCTTTTCCCTGTTTCCAGCGAAGTTGGTTTTTTTTCTATCTCTTAATACCCTACTTAGCTTTTAGAATTCATCTTTGGCTATCCAAATGCTTTCTTCGGATTTCAGTGTCACATTTTACGTCCTCTGTCGAAACACTTCCCAGATATTTAAAGTTCCGCACTTGTTTGATTCTGGTATCTTCGATTTGCAACTCGCAATCTGGGTTCATCCTTTTGCTAACAAATATGAATTCTATCTTGGAGTTGATGTTTAACCCTTACTTCTCGCTTTCATTTATAACATTTTTTAGGGGCTTTTGTTATCTTCTTTCTGTGTCTGCTATCAACACTATGTCATCTGCATATCTTAAACTTTTTTTTCTTTTAATCAGTATCACCCTCAAGCAACGTAATAATGCTACTAAAACACAAGGGGTTACAGGGCGTGGAAGAATTAGGAACAGAAACAGCAACGATAAGTAGAAAGAGAGTGATCAGGATGTCAGTAGATAGCGATTGACATTGCATTTAAATTTTTGCAGATTAAAATTGGCTGGAAAGCATGGAGCCAAAGGAGAATTCCACATGTGAGAAGTGCGAGAGAAGAAACTGTTCGCATAGAACTTGCGGCTGCATCTAACCAACTGCTGTGGAGTGGTTTCACAGTGGAGGCTTGTATTTGTACTAAGTCGGTCCTAAAATAGGTTCGACGTACAAAACGTTAGGATCTTGATATAATAGGTATAATGCAGAGTAAATCTAGTTGTGGTCGACTGACTGCTCGAACCACTGAGCGGCTGCGCCACTGACTTGTTACTCTTACTACTCCTACTTATTATAGGTGGGAGAGTCTATTAACTATAGAATAGGGGTGTTCCACTATAACACCAACTCAACTGTAAATTGATGAGATGGAATTTTTTGGCTAAACAAGCGTTTCAATATAAGGGAGTTGACCGGAAATTAATAGAAATATAAAATAATATGTTATATGCACTTTAATATATTGTTACTATATTCGTCATAATTTGTGTTCAGTGTTGGTTGGTTGATTTTGATATCGAGGACCACAAGAATTTGAAGTTTTTGTTTATTATTTTTATGGTGTAGTATATTGTCGACAAGTATTTTCCTGTATTGTGAAGGTGGAGAGGAATGTGTCTTTAAATGTTGTGCGATAGAACTTCTATCCGATATATGAAGTGTAAGTCGTCTTGATAATGTTGTGGTTATCAAACCAACATATGTACTTACTTTTTTGTCAGAAATACATTCTCCAAAAGGACATTTAAACTGATATACAGTGTCGGTCTTTTACAAAACTGGTCAACAGGAATAAGTTATTGCAGGATATGGATAGATTAGATTGTGTAACAGTTTAGATAGATAAATAGATAGTTTATTATATAATTATAGATAAGAACAGTTAGACAGAATAACATAGATATATAGATAGACAGAGAGAGAAAGAGAGATAAGAAAAGCATAATATATATATATAAAGATAGATGAATAGATATGGATAGATAGATAGATAGATAGATAGATAGATATGAACGGAAGAACATTGATATATAAAAATAAAATTACAAAAGATATTTAGATAGATAAGTACACAATGACATAGATAGATAACAAAATGACATAGATAGATAGATAGATAGATAGATAGATAGATAGATAGATAGATAGATAATACCATCGTTTTAATATTTAAATTAAAGGAAGCTAATTCAAAAAACAAAAAAAAAAATGATATCATCGTGCTTCTCTGAAATCTGTAATCCATTTCTTTTGTTATTTTGTCAACATCATTTCCTTGCTTAAATTCCAATTCGTGCAAAACGCCTTCTTTTTCTTTCTAACTGGGTGGAATTTCGTCACTTTTAAAACAGCACTTTTCTGTTCAGTGGTAAAAAAAAAAAAAAAAAAAAAAAAAGAAAAAAAGAGTGAAATGAAAGAAGACACCAACAATGCCAAACCGGATTCTTAAGTTATTCATGTCTTTGCGGAGGTGGTTGAACTCTTATGGTAAAACTTAGTGCACGAACAGACAACCGCACGTGGGAAGTAAATAGGCCCTGGTGAGAGGGAAACACATTTTCAGATTTCGCGCGCTTTTTACACATAAACACAGGCGCGTGTCGACGCTAGCCAATGATTTTAAAGGAAAGCCGTGCAAAGAAAATCCCAGCGCTTCTTCGCCTCCCAGTGAACTTGGAAGAGATCCTCGATTTACTAGGTGAAGGAGTTATTCATTCTCACCCCCCCTCTCTCTCTCTCTCTCTCTATATATATATATATATATATATATATATATATATATATATATATGTGTGTGAGGTGGAAGAGAGCAGGCATAGATATGTTCTTCCATTTTATTCTCGGTCACAAAAGTTCCCACCCGAGACTCAAAGCCTGATTCTTCATGAATACATTGACCTTGTTACCCTCGCTTTTATCAAAGTTGTTTGAAATACATTTGAAAGTATTTGTCTTCCTTTACTAATTTTCAAGTCCTACAAAGACATAAAATACAGAGAAAAAACAAAATGTCCGACTTTTTTTTCTCCTTTCGGCATATAAATTTAGGGTCCTTACACAAAAAAAAAACGTGATATCTAAGCTTTAAAATTAATTTTAAAAAATGAAATAAAAATCTTTCCTGAAGCTTTTATTTTAGTTTTAGTTTCAAACTAATAGATTAAATTTAATATTTCCAATGATCAAAATATTTCGCTGTATTTCGAAAAACTAACTGAAATTTCCTGGATTTTTTTTTTCTTTTTTTTTAAACTAAAATAGCTGATTAACTCCTTTTTTTCGTTGTCTTTCGTCGCAAAGTAAAACTGTTTATTAAAAAATCATCCAAAAATAAAATATACTTTTCTGAAACTTTATTTGAGGAATATTACTTGATTTAATGGATAGTTAATCTGATTTGAAATAAATTTTATTTACTTAAGGTTTAAAATATCATTTCTATGTTTCACTTTTATATTTACACACGGTCTATCTCTAATATTGAGCACTTTATCCCATAAATATAGCACATCTTAAGACTATATTTTTCATATATATATATATATATATATATATATATATATATATATATATATATAAAAATAGAACGTTGAAGTCAACTTCGCCTTGTGATCAATGTTCACTTTTATATTTATATTTCCATACGCTCTATCTCTGATATTGACCACTATATCCCATAAATATAACACACCTTAAAACTATATATATATATATATATATATATATATATATATATATATATATATATTAGTAGTAGTTATACATAATATTCAGCGTCGATACTACAACTCGGAGTTTCATGCAAACGTGCAATTTTCAGGTGCGAAATATAGACAGGTTATATTTCACTGAAATTTTACGTTTGCGATAGCGACGTTAGATATTATCTATAATCACTAATATATACATAATAGCTCTGTTATATAACATTGAGTACTTTTTTATAACACCTGAGAAATATATATATACGTACGTGCAAGTATATGAGTGTATATGTATATTTTTTATCATACCCGTATCTCCCTCTCATTCCGATAGTACAAAACAGGATCAATAGCAGCATCATTTTACGATTAATGTGTGGGCTGGAACTGTAAGCAACTGTCTTCTCCCAGCACGTCTTACAGAAGCTGTCTACGGAGACTATATATCGGACACAATTCTAGAGCTGTTAGAGGATGTACACCTGCTAATATGAAGACGCATGTCATCCATGCATGGTGCGAGTCCAGCACATTTTATACACAATATTCTCGATGAACTGGCTGACATCTACCATGAAAGATGGATAGGTAGGGGGTGACCGCTTCCATGATCTGCACATTCCCCCGACCTCAATCCTTTGGATTTTTATATGTGTGTGTGTGGGGGGGGGGCACGTAAAATAATAGGTTTATACAGCAGACATTAATAATACAGAGATGCTTCCTCAACATGTCATGGGGGCCAGCGAAACCATTCGATGCCGTGTCTGAGTATTTGAAAGGGTCCGCCAGTCAATGATACGACGGGTGCATATGTGTGTTGAAGCACGCGGAGAACCTTTTGAATATTTGTCATGAGTTGCTGTGTTGAGATACAATGATATCCTCGGCATAGACGTTTACAAATGATTGGGGTATATTCTTAGGTAGATCATTTGTGTAAATCAGAAAATAGCTTTGGTTCGAAAAGTGACCCCAGGGGACGGCTGCGTTGACCATACGGACCTCGGAGGATTGGCCGTTAATAATTACCTTCTGGGATCTAACTGCTAGTAAGAATTTTAGAGAAAAGACTTCCAGTGATTCCATAGCTGGAGGGCTTGTGCAGCAAACTTTTTGCCACACCGTGTAGAATGCTTTCGAGATATCTACTGCTATGGTCATTGCGGTATGTGTGTCGTCAAGGGCCTCACTAATTCTGTGTGTTATGGTATTTCAGACATCAGCACTGGATTGGCCTGACCGAAACACATACTGCTCGTCGCACAAGAGGTTGTTCCTATCCGGGTTCTCAACGAAGTTCTTGTGGATTATGGCCTCAAAAAGCTTAATGATGATACTAAGGAAACCTATGGGTCTATACATGGTGGGTGGGGAGGATCGGTTGCCCGCGTTCTTGAAGACAGGTCATACGCCTGTCACCTTCTACATATTTAGGAATGATTTCTCCTTCAAGAAGCGGTTAAATAACTTTGCTAGAATCGGGGATAATTCTGGGCTGATATTTTTAAGGACGACCATTGTAATTTTGTCTGGGCCAGTTGCTTTTTGGGGGCCAAGGCTTCTGATAAGTTTAGAGACTTCTCTTGCTGAAATGAGTATATTACTGACGGGCATGCTGAAGTTCAAGTCAGCCTCGATCAGACCTTCGTATAGCAGGACAGGCCCCAGTTCCTTCGCTCTGACGGGCATACTGCATTGCTCCAGATTGCCTTTGTGTTTCTCTTTGTAACGTAAGAATGGCTTTCCAACTGACTGGCTTGTTAGAAGCTGATCGAAGAGAAGTCCGTTATCACTCATACAAGAAAAAAATGTCCTGACCAGCTAAGTTGGGTTTTCATTATTAGATGCCTTCGATATATATATATATATATATATATATATATATATATATATATATATATATATATATATATATGCTCTCGAATAATTTGATTGAGCTCTCGGAGAGAAGGGTAATTTTATAAACAGTCGTTGCCGCTGTTAATGCAATGCTCTTCTATTCGAATCGAGCTTGGGGGGAGTGTAGAATCTCTGACTGATGCCAAATTGGTCGGGTTTCGATCCCGGCCTGGAGCAATTGGATGTTTAGTCACACTGATGGGCTGTGATACAGCGAAACAGTCAGTCTGTGGATGACTATATATATATATATATATAATCGGGTTTGATATACAGCTGAATTTATGTTCATTTTACGTTAAAGTGCATCTGAAAGACGAGAATCGACATCTCCCTGCCCTTTATCTTATCGCATCATATTGCAAAAAATGTTACCTTTAATGGCATGTCCTGATATTTGACAGAGTGAGTTAAGAAGCACTAGAACAAATAACTCTCCTATAACAAGATACAATTATATATGTATGTGTCTGACCGTGTATATTTGTCTGTGTGTGTAACTGATGGATTGACCTTGCGAAGAAAGATTTACGGCAGTAGGGCACGTTATTTTGCAGATGGCCAGTGATTTCTACAAGCAACATTTTCCATGGCAGTTGCAGGAAAAAAAATGGCAACCGGAGGGAATCCCGGCCTTCCGATGTTTCTTCAATTTTGTTTTGTGGTTTTCTTCAGATAGGTAAGTTGTCTTGCAGACTTTATATTCCTCTTACTGCAATAATTCTAGACACTCTTCACTACTACAAATGCCATCTTTCTCCTGATTTATAGACACCACGACGAACCACGTCCTAGGTATGATGATAAACTAGATCCAGCAGCAAGGCATTCGATCGGAAGTTTTGACGATCTTGGAACCACCTCTTAATTGCTTTTTTTTTTCACCAGGTTCACCTTAACCCAAGGATGGTAGCATTTATTAGGGCCCAACTATGGGTAAATACTGAACCCCCAAACTGGAGTCAGAACATGAAAATATAAAAATACAGTAGAAAAAAATTCCAGCAATACATTTTCATGATAAAAGAATAAAAAAAAAAGCTCACAAGAAAATAAAATTTCAGTATTAAATGACCCATAACGAGTTGATATGCCGTTAAACAAATAATCAAACCAAAGCAAGAAATATGATCCAACAGTTATAAAATTAAATCAACCCAGAACCAATAAATCTACATCACTGTGTATTTATAATATGTATAGTTATTAAAGTTTGGCTCAAGGCTAACTAGGATAGAGAGGTCGATAAGCAACCACTGGAGCCGATAAGAAATTTACAATTATGTCAAGGACCTAACAGGCACCACTTCAATTTTGAATGTAAACATGTGTGGTGGACTGTAATTTAAGCTTATTTTAAGCGAATCTAAGCGAGTTTTAGGTTTGCTCTGAGACACTTAAGTCGACGAGATCAAATACATAGCATTCACGTGGATAGCTAGAATTTCGGGTAAAATCTATTCCTGGCGCACCCTAAGTGCATGCTTGCACCTGTTTATAATCACACACCCACATACATACACAAACACATACATACCCAAACACACATACA